CCAAGGACGCTTGTGGCTTCAGCTGCTTCCTGAGGAGCAGTCACATCTGGAGAGAAGGCCGTGGGGTCATGTGCCATCTGCCCCCAACAGTACTCTGCCTGGCATCTGGAGCTAAGGGATAGGTGGATGCCCTCAAAGACCACCCAACCCTAGGCCAACAGGCTACATTTTCCTTAGGGTGCCTCTCCCGGTGCCCCTAAACCCACCCTCAGGAGATCTCAGGCCAGAAGGCTCTGGTCTCAAACCTACGTCCTCCTCGGCCACAGTCTGAAAACCAATGCCTCTGTCTGACCAGAGCTGACAGAGCCTCTTAGGGGCCACAGTCAGCAGCCTGTACATGGTCACAACAGCTTTACTCTTAGGAATGAAAAAAGAAAAACTGGCCCCAACCCAAACGAGCCCACCGCCTCAACTTTCCCAAGGGGCCAGGCCCTAACCACCAGGCTCCAATTTTATCAGGAGCTCTCACACTTCTGCACGTACCCTGCCATCCACAGTCTTTCCTAGGTTCTAAGTCCTATATTGTCTAACCACTGATCCAACAAGCCCAGGACAGGGGCTCTTTATTTTAATTTTATTTTAAAGAGAGGAAGGGAAAGAAAGAGAGAGAGAAAGAGAAACATTGATTGGTGGCCTCCCACATGCACCCCAACCAGGGATCGAACCCACAACCAGGGTATGTGCCCTGACGGGGAATTAAACCCGCCACCTTTTGGTGTATGGGATGACACTCCAACCGAGCCACACAGGCAGGGGTTTTTTGTTTTTTTGTTTTTTAAATGTATTTTATTGATTTTTCACAGAGAGAAAGGGAGAGAGATAGTCAGAAACATCGATGAGAGAGAAACATCAATCAGCTGCCTCCTGCACATCTCCCACTGGGGATGTGCCCGCAACCCAGGTACATGCCCTTGACCGGAATCGAACCTGGGACCCTTCAGTCTGCAGGCCGACGCTCTATCCACTGAGCCAAACCGGTTTCGGCCAGGCAGGGGTTCTTTAAGGCAGGACCACACAGAGCACCCACGGGAGTGCACTAGGAAGGGTGCTGAAGGCAAAAGCCAGAAAGGAAACAATTGGGAAGCATCTCAGGATTTTCAGAACCATGACTTTACTAAGGGGAAAGGGTTATAACCAATCTCCTTGTGTATTATGTTAAATTTTGTTTTGAGAATTTAATTATTTGGAAAGTCTCCAGTGAAATCCCTACCTCAAAGAGTATCCCACTGACAAAGGATCTTTGGGGGCTGATGAGGTGTCTAACACTCCATCTACCACCATCTTCACCATCATCACACAAAGCAGGGCCCTGAGAGTAACCCCAACACTAATATTTTGAAAGCTTGCTATGGTTCTGGAACTACATGAAGGCTTTTATAGATGCTATCTCATTTCTATCATGGCCTTTGTAGAAATGAGGAAACAGGTTAAGTAACTTGCCAGCTAGGAAGTTATGGAACTGGGAGTGAAAGCCCCATCTCCAGGTTCTTAAACCCTGTGCTGTCCTGCCTTTCCGAAAGGGTACAGGCAGCTCCCAGGAAGGCTGCTGGGAAGAGAGCTGCAGGCTGAGCCAAGTCTGGCTTTAAGACTGCAGGCCCCCAAGCCAGCCCTAGTTCTCCAACCTCTAGCAGTAAGGAGAATGGTGGAGGGTTGTGAAGGGCCAGCCAGTTTTATCAGGAGCTCTCATACTTCTGCATGTACCCTGCCATCCAGTCTTCCCTAGGCTCTACGTCCTAAATTGTCTTCCCCATCACATGAGAGGCTCTCCCAGGGCAGGGGATGTCTCTCAGATCAAAGCCGTCAGACATTGTGCACCAACCATGTCCAGAAACTGCACTAGATATTTTAATTGCATCCTCATTTCACCACTTACATCAACCCTGTGAAAGTGCTAATTAGCCCCATTTTACAGATGAGAAAACTAAGGCACGAAGAGTTTACTTGACTGGCCAGAAGCTGGCAGGTTTGGGACTGGAATCTGGGCTGTGCCATTCCACAGGCCCCTCCTCTTAACCGTGAGGCTGCCCTTCCCCAGCCTGGTCCTGTCTTGGCGACACAGAGCTACCATCCGCCCTCCTTGAGACCACCACACCTGGTTCCTGAAGTTAAAGTATGATACTGTTCTTTCCAAAACTGAGGAGGATAAACTCCGGTCCTCTCCATCTTGTCCTCTGCCCAATGGGCAATGTGCAGACTCACTGTCTTAGCAGCTCCAGGGAAGGCCACCAGGAATGGCCATTAGAGCCAGAGGAGGGAGGCGGGGACCAGAGTGGGGGCAGCAGTCCTCACCCTCTGTTGGTGGGCATGCTGTGAGGTCCAATGGACTAGGAGATTAGGCCAGTTTCACAGGCTTTTCCTCTGCCCACCACAAGTATCCCTCTCCCCCCTGCCCCCTCCGGGTTCTATAAATAATCCAGGTCAATACATCTGAGGAAAGGCAGCGGGTTGGGTGCGGAAAGATCCTGGTGCAAAGAGGACTTCTATAAAGTCAATTAAGGCTCCCATTCTGATCAAGGGGTAGCAAATCAAATTCTCCAAGGGGAACTGTCCTTGGCTGAAAACAGGCCCACCTGGGCCTAAGGCATAAACAGCTCAGCTGAGTCAGATCCACAGCCCAAGAAGAAAGCAAGGGCAGGAACTGGGGGAAGAGGGGGGGAATCAAAGGCCCCTCCCAAGTCACTGACCTCACAGAAGCCCCTCCCTACAAGCCTAGAGACTGGTGTGTGTCCCCGGATGTGTCATCTACCAGCCTGGTCAGAATAGCTGCAAGGTGGAGGTTGAAGGACTAAGAAAAAAAGGGGAGGAAAGAATTTGGGGACAGGAGCCTCTCCAGAAAAAAGGAAGGGCTAAGAGATCCAGGGGAGAGTTTGCAGCCCCACACCCACCCCCTTAGGCTCCCTAGGCCAGGAAGGAGGGAGAGGACAGAAAAAGTGAGGAAAAAAGAAAACAAAACAAGGGCCAAGCTATGCCACATGATCCCACACCCGGCAACCAAACAGCAAGTCATGAGGGAAGGAGAGGAGAAGGCCAGGGGAGGGGGACATGGAGCTAGGTCAGACCTGCGGGGAACCCGCCCTGTGCTTCCCACCCCAGGCCACTAAGAGCCATGAAGACCCTTCCCTACCCACACTGTGAAAAATGTCCAAGGTCAGATCCTTTTCTAGCCAACTCCTGCTTTCCTCTGGGTCTGCACCAGGCTCATCAGTCTCCTCCAGCAAGCCTTCCTACATTTACGCCGATGGATGCCATTCCGATCAGGCGAACCTTCCCAGCACCTGTCCCCACCTACGGCAGACCCCTGCCCTCATCCCCTTACCCTCCCCATCCCGGACCCAGGAGGCCCAGGGCGGTGTCCCCCCAGTGGATGAGTGATCCACAGCAGGTCGCCAGCCCTGGGGACTGGCCTCCAGACACTGCCCACGCCCAAAATAGGAAATGAGGCTCCCAGTCTGAAGCCTTGATCTTCACACAGGGAAGGTTAAACGCTGCCAAAATAAATGATGACAAAAAAACCCACTGGCCCTTCTAGGTGGAAGTGACTGGGAGATGATCCCCAGCAGTGCATGCACCACTGTTTCCACCTCAGGCAGGACGGGCAGGAGCCTGAAGACTGATTAAAGCGTTTCCTCACTTTACGGAGAGGAACTCTTGCGTTCAGGCCAGGGACTCAGAGGGACAGGGTCCGGGGGTGTGTCTAGGTGGCAGAGGACACATCCCAGTTCCAGACAAGAAGCAGATGCCCTCGCAGTTTCTAGGTCGGGGGGGGGGGGGGGACACCTCGAGGACAGCACTGCCCCTTTCTTCCCCCACAGGGTGAGGCGGCACCTCTCCATTCCCCTGAGGGCCTGGCTTGGGTCAGGTGCCTGCAGTTCTCCTCCCCTTCCAGGAAAGGGAGACCGGCCCGGAGGCCCTAAGAATGGCCTCGAGACTTTCCTTCTTGAGGTTCCCACAGTCCAAGAGCCTCTGGACCCCACTCCTAAGGTTCCTGGACAATTTACAACTAACGCTAGGCCGCCGTTCACACCTCCTGGGGCCTCCCAAGGCCCACCAGCGGCCAAGCACAGCGCACGGTTTAGGAACGGGTAGGGGGGACCCCGAAATGCTTAGAACCAACGGGTCGGTTTACGCCCTTGAGCCCTTGAGCGTGAGGCGGAGGGCGCACCATCCGGGCCGCGGTTCGG